ACCTAAAGTGTATCAAACAGCAAAAACTAGTGATAGACGAGAGGACCAGGTTTTTTTTTAAGAACTAGCAGCAGATGACTAAAAACCGAATAAAGCGGGAGAAAATTGGTTATGCAAACAAATTGGCAAGAAATATAAATACAAAGAGCAATATCTTTTACAAGTATATAAAAAGAAAAAGTGGCTAAAGTAAAGGACCTTTTAGAGGATGCAACAGAGGAATTAATGAGAGGAATTTGGAAGACGACAGACAATTGAAATAAATATTTTGTATCAGTCTTCACAGTGAAAGACATTATAAACATCCCAAAGACATCAGATAACCAAGGTACTAATGGGGGGATAAGTCTTGTAGCAGCCTCTATCACGTAGGACAAAGTATTTGATAAATTGATGGGACTAAGGACATGAAGTTGCCAGGACCTGATGGCCTGAATTCAAAGGTTTTAAAGGAAGCGGCTGCAGAGATAGTGGAGGCATTGGTTGAAATAATCCAGAACTCACTGGATTCTGACTGGGTTCCAACAGATTGGTAAACTGCTAAATTGATGCCTCGTTCAAGAAAGGGAGACAGAAAGCATGAAACTATGGGCCAGTGAGCCTAACATCTGTTGTTAGGAAAATCTTTCCATTGTTAAGGAAGAAATAGTAGGACATTTAGAAAGGTTTAACACAATTAAACATAGTTAACATGGTCTTGTGAAAGGTAAATAGTGTTTTGTAAATCTGAGATCTATGAAGATATAACAAGAGGAGTTGCTAAAGGTGAACTGGTAGATATATTTAGATAGAGTACTTGAATTTCCAGAAGGTATTTGACAAGGTGCCATGTAAAATGTTATTGCACAAGAAATGAGTACATGGCATTGGGGTAATTTATATGCATAAGTTTAGGATTCATTACAGAGAAGATAGCTGAATGGATGGGTCTTTTTTAGTATGGAAAGTCTTAACCAGTGGAGTGATACAAAGCTCAGTCCTAGAGCCTCAATTACTCACTATCCGTATTTATGCCTTGGAGAGGGTAGAGTGTAATCTATCCAAGTATACTGATGATGCACAAACAGGTAGTTTGGCATGTTGAGATAAGGACATAAGGAATCTGTGGGCATAGGGAGGAGATTGGTAGTATAGATAGATTGAGTGAGTGGGCAAAGTCTTGGCAGATGCATTTAAATGTAGGAAAGTGTGAGGTCATGCACTTTGGTAGGAAGAATTAAAGGCAGACTATTATTTAAATAAATACAGATTCTAAAAATGTGCAGTGCAAAGGAATTTGAGTGTTCTTGTGCATGAAACTCAAAAGGTTACCCTGCTGGTATAGCAAGTACCTAAGAAGTTAAATGGTATTTTTGGCCTTTATTGCTGTGGGGTTGGAGTTTAAAAACAGGGATTTCATGTTAAAACTGTACTGGATGTTAGTGAGGCTGTTCCTGGAGTGCTGTGTACAGTTTTGGTCCCTGTATTTAAGAAACGATGTACTATCATGACATGCAGTTTAAAAGAGAATCACCTAGGCTGCTTTGTGAGATGAATGGATTGTGTTATCAAAAAGGGCTAAATAGATTAGGTGTTTACTGATTAGAGTTTAGAAGACAGAGGGGTATTCTATTGAAATATGTATGGTTCTGAAAGCACTTGAGAGGGTAAATGTTAAGAAGGTTTTTCCATAGATGGGGGAATCATGAACTAGGGAATATAGTTACGGAATAAGGGAACACACATTTAAAATTGTAGTGTAAAGAAGTTTGTTCATTCAGTGGTTAGTAATTGTATGGAATTCTCTAACTCAGAGTTGTGGAGGCAAGATCGCTGAAAGTATTTTAAGAGGAGGTAAATAGATTTTTGAAATATCAAGGAGTTCAGGGAGATCATGAGCTGGCATGAAAGAGAAGTTGTGGTCTGACCAGATCAGCCATGATCTTGTTGAATGGTAGGGTAAGATTGAGGGACTGAATGGCCTATCCTCCTACTACTTATGTTCTCCTTGTACAAGATTGCCTTCTAAATATTAGCCACCACATATATCTAGTTTCAGTTAATGCCAGTGTTTCAGCACCTAAGGTGGTTTTAACTACCTTTTTCTTTATTTTCTTAAGATAATGGGCAATATTTACTATTTTTTACCAACAAGAATGTGATAAAAATATTAAATAGTCATCTGGAATATTACCAAGTGATGCTTCTGTAAAGATGACCACATTCCTATCTTCTGGATCACACAATGCTGAAAAATTCACTGTCTCTGAATTTAATTTACTTAAGCCTTTATTTGCTCTAAGAATCTTCCAGAACAAAAAAAAATCAACATTTTGTATCCTAAAGATGCTTACTAGTTTGTCCTTGTCATACCATTAAAAGATATCTGGGACCATGTTTAACTGAACACAATTCACTTTCAGCAGGATTGAGCTAATTGAGAAATACCACACCGTATTCAATCCCATGACTCATGTTTAATTTCCATAGTTCCCCTTCTATGTTGCCAGCTTCCTTAGGAAGCTTCAAAAAAACTTCTCTTCGAAATGTTTCCCTGAAAAAATGCAGCTTTTACATTAATTACTTTACTTTCTCTAGAATATTTTGCTAAAACACCTAACGTCAACTTTCCTGCTCCTCTGATGCTGCCTGGCCTGCTGTGTTCCCCCAGCTCCACACTGTGTTATCTCAGACTGCAATTTCAGCCAGTAAATCTTCAGTATTCTGCCATGTTGATAACATAAAACTGTTAATTGTTGATGCTGTTGTACACTAATAAGATTTACCTTGAAGTATGACCTCCTGTTCTGTACAACAATATCTTTTATGATCTGTAACTTTGTGGAATTTTGCAGTTTTGTATGATTATTGACTTGTAAAGAAATAATGACCTTGCATTTACATTGCTGCTTTCATAATCTCAGTATGTCTAAAGTGCTTTAAAGCCAAGAAAGTAGTTTGAACCATGATCCCTACAGTGTTATAGAGAAACTGCTTAGTTATTGCTCTATATTGGTACTTTCTCCCCAAATAGGTGTCACTTGGTGGTCGAGGGTACAGATACAGCTGTACCCAAACCGATCAGCTGGTCAGTGAAAGCCCATGCACACAATACAAGCTCAAAGATAATCCAAGCACCTTTTTGTTTTGTAGACTATCCAGACTAGCCCATTGGAGAGAGAACTGCTTGGTTGCCTATTACTTAGTGGACTGAAAAAGATTGAAATTCTTGGATTGCCTGATCACTGAGTCAGGAAGAAGATCAGTTGTTCACCACCTAGATTGGTGCTATCTCATATGTAATTCTAAATCAAATCTTGATTTACAGACTTTATTTTAAAATTTACACAAAGTCACTGACGGAGGAGTAAAAGAAGGCATTGGTTTTGCCATGTTTTTGCTTGACATGTAGAGATCTGACTCTCCTCAACTTTTGAAATCGAGATGTCTTGATTTATATTCTTTAATACCTTGATATATAATCTTTGCAGTTCCCCCAGAACTTGTAGTGGATATGTTTGTGCAAATGTGGTTTCCTAATTATACAAGACAGGAGCTATAAAGGGGCAAAACTATCTCAGTAATCAAAATGAATATTCCTTCATTGTATCAGTATTTAAATTATACTGTCAATTTTCAAACTGTAAGCCCACACTAATTAGAATTACAATGCACAAAAAAAATTAACATTTAACAACTTATTGTTTTTCTTACATTCAGCTCCCCCTGATGGATGCAAATTGTGAAGTGACATAGATGTCTCTGCCCAAAATATATGGGTAATTTAAGTCCAACAACTCTGATATTAATATTAATGCAAATGAGTAATGGTTAGTTGTCTTTTGATTGATGTAAGCAGACACTCATTTTAGACAAATTTGTTGTAAGTGGGAAGGTCTTTCACATATTTTACCTACAGTGCTCATGAAATTAATGTTAATTAAGCTCATGAGCAACGTACTCAAGTTCACAGCTTGTGTCCTGTGACTGCTCACACTAGGCCTATGCAAGGCTATATCAAGTTCCTAGCGTCACCACTGCTGGGCACTTTATGGTTAATCATACAAGGTCAGACTGAGATTAATAAATTCCTGTTAAATGCAATTAGATGTGTGAGTACATAGGAGTATATTAAAGCACATCATTAAATCACATACAGTACCTCCAACTCTTGAGCAGGTGCATTTGTTTAACCAGCTTTGTCATTCTCTGGGCTTTTATCACAAATGTACTTAGTAAATAACACTTCCTTAACTTAGAGATGGAGTGATACAGGTATACAGCTCAGAAACAGACTCTTCGGTCCAGCTTGTCCGTGCCAACTAGATATCCTAACCTGACCTTGTACAATTTGCCAATATCTAAACCCTTCCTATTCATGTCTAATCCAGGATGCCTTTTAAATGTTGTACTTATGTCCACCTCCATCAAGTCCTCTGGCACCTTGTTCCATACACTCAGTACCCCTCAGGCCCCTTTTAAATCTTTCCGCTCTCACCTTAAACCAATGCCTTTGAGTTTTGGACTCCACTACGCTCAGGAAAAGACTTTGGCTGTTCATGCTATCCATTCCCCTCATGATTTTATAAATCTCTAAGGTCACCCCTCAGTGTCCGACAGTCCAGGGAGAAAAGGCCAAGCCTATTCAGCCTCTCACTGCAGCTCAAACCTTCCAACCCCAGCAACATCATTGTAAATCTTTTCTGAACCCTTTCAAGTTTAACAACATCATTCCTATAGCAGAAACAGAGTAGACTGGGCCGATATTCCAGGGAGTTCAGAAAAACGGGTGTTTGTCGGAAAGAATTGTAATTTTGAGGGTTCTGACAAGGAGGATCATGAGAAAGTGATTCCCTTGGCTGGGGAGTCCCAAACACAGGAGGTCCAGTCCTAGGATATAGCTTCTCTAGATATTTATCAGAGATTGACACATACATCTTTAATATTCCGCACCCACTGCCAGCCCCTCATCCATCAGTCATCCTACTCAAATGGAATAAAACAGATTGCAAGAAAATTTATTAAAAAGGAGACAAATTTATCAAAGATTTTATTAATATGTTGCAAAGTGCTTTTTAAACTGTGTATAACTATATTAACTGCACCAGGAAATGAATAAATTTATATACAGGACAACATGGGCATGAATTCAGCTATACCATACTGTGAAATATTCACCATTGCCCCCTCCTCTCTTCCAATGTTCAATTTCGTCCTGGGTACAGTTCCAGATACATTGCTTCAGAGATCATGAAGCCTCAATCATGAAGGGCTTTACATTATCTATACACTGATTATCAGGGATAAAATCTCTATTCTGCTTAAATAAGAGCTTCAGAGGCCAAGGGTAGCACCCTATTTCTTTTGAAGCAACCAAGCAGGTTAGAAAGCAAATCCAGAATCATTACAATCTTCACTACACAAAATGCACACACTCACCTAGAATTATATTCCATAGTCACACATACATGTACTCATTTATATATACATACACTGTGGAAACAAATATATAAAATATTTTCAACTGTATAGCAAACATTTTCAACATACAATGAATTACATCAAATGTAGTGACTTTAGTACATACGCAAATACATTAAGCATTTTCCATGCAGCTAGATCTCAAATACCACAAGTGTGAAGAACAAGTCATTGTTCTAGCTTGCACTGGTTGACAAAAGGAACATTAAAATCAGTAGAATTCCCAGGTCCTCTTTGAATCACAGTATCTGGCCTCTCACCTCCCAACTGATGTGGCCGGGGATTCTGCATCAAAATCTAAAGCAAGGCACCTCCAACAATGCAGTGCTCCTTGAGGAATCAGACTGGATTATATCATCAAGTTCTTGAGTGAGTTATCTGTTTTAAGAATTAGTGTTCCACAACTTATCACAAGCTATGCTGCAATAGGAGGTACACGTAACAAGACTGCAGGGACTCATTATAGTACAAAATATTATTCATATTGAAACATCAGGATAATTGTAATTTAGTTCAAAATGAATTAAGTACTTTCATATTGAAGGTGCAATATTTATGATTAGGAGTCACTCTCAAGCAGCTTCATCCATTTTTCAGTTGGGAATATGACTCTGAAAGAACAGAAAACACATTCAGTTTCACAAGTTGCACTTGGAAGGAATGTGATAGCAACAGGTCGCAGGATTTTTCCACTTATCCACAGTTTTATTAATGGGAATACATCACTATTAGGACCACCAACTACCCAGGATTATTGTAAGATCTCCAGGAATTGATCAGTAATTTCCTATACTACTGCAAGCAAGCCTGGAGAAAAAAAAAATCACAGGAACATTAAAAGAAAATGCTCCCCACCTTTAATCTTGACCACGTTAGTTAATGAGTATTTAAAAATGTTAGTGATGAGGAAGAATGCTTCCCAGAGCAGGGAACAATGTTAGACCATTAGACAACCAATGGACGAAGTGTGTGTGGGGTGATTAAAGGCAGGAGGTTATGTGATGTAATCTCCAAGAATTATATCCAAATTATAGTTGGCATTCCTAAAGGACATAGTACTAACACATCACTTCCTGTTTCCGGCTACAACACCCTGGATATATGGCAATTACCAACACCAGCCAAAGCTATGTCTAAACTGTTACACAGTGAGTGCAAATTTCCATACAACACACTGGGTCACCCATACAAGAAACCCATTCAATACCCAGTAATGTATTGTGCCTCTGTTCCAAGCTGCTGAATGATATACAATTCCCTGCATTTTTAACCTTTCCCCAACCAAACAAATCAGGCAGCTGGCAGAGGGCAGGATACATGATTACAGGTAGACAGTTCTGTTGCAACACAACACATGATGTGAATTTCTATACCAACTATTTATTCTCTGCTGATAAATTCCCAGAAGTGCCAGTTTCCAAGCAGCTCATTGAAAACGGACAAAAATAGTGTATCACACCTGAAGAAAAGCTTAGAGGTTAGCCCATGAAAGGAACAGAAATTGTCCAGGAACATTTTGATAGCGAGAGTCAACTTTAGAAATGACAGCATCAGGACGATATGCAGAAATGAGACAGCAGGATAGTGGCACAGGCACTAGACAAGTACAGGCAAATGCCCTGAGGACACAGATTCAAATCCTACCACAGTAGCTGGTAGAAATTAAATTCTGTGAATTAACCTGAATTGTGAAGTTTGCCTCAGTGATGATGACCTTGACAATTATCATTGATTATAAAAAAAATCATCTGGTTCATTAATGTCTGGTTAGGAAGGAAATCCTTGCCCAGTTTGGACTACATGTTATTCCAGACTTCAGAAATGCGATTGATCTTAACTGTTTCTGAATTGATGGTGTTCACCCCCCATCCCTCCCAACTGGAGCAGGAATTATTTAAATTGGCTGCCTACTACCTTGCAGTGAGCAACTAATCCGTATTCTCTCTCTGTCCTGGGAAACATCCCTGGCAACAGGAATTCATCAAGGGGCTGACTCAACACAATTTTGCACTATTTCCTTGGACTCCATGCCCATAATCATAGGACACTGAAACTTCAAACCTCTGTTCCTTTGAAACAAGAAGCATCAGCAAAAAGACCACCTTCCCATGACACTCAATCATGTCATAATTATCAAATCTTTCACTGGATCAGCCACATAAATGCTATGCTAATTGGGCAGTGTTGGAAATCGGGGTCTCCTTTAAAACTATGACCTCTTAGTATTCCATATTTAAAATTTCCTGTATAGCATGAGACCTCATTTAGGTGTGTTACAGGAGCAGCTAGTCTTCTACAATTGTAAATAAAAGATTCATCAGGTGCCACGCCACCATATAATGTGTGCAGTGTTTTCAAAAATATGGAAATTTTGTTCATGGAAGAAATGAAAATTGAGTTTTAAATGGAGTTGGGCAGTGGGACAATGATCATTCTGGCAACCCCATGGTCATTGACCAAAAAGATAATGAATCAGCATTTCAACTTGGATACAAGGATAATGTGTTTCATGTTGGAAAAGAACAGAGAACGTTATGGGCTTTCCGAAAAAGACAATGCATATCACAGACAGATAGCAGTGTGGTCAGCATTGAAAGGTCAGAGGAGGAGATAGTCTCTGAAAAGGAGAGATGCTTCCTCTGGCCTTTCACAGACTCCGGGACATTTGTTCTGGCAAGGGCAGGGAAAATAAGAATCATTGGAATAGGAATCTGTTAGATTTAGGAATGTCTGATAACTGAGGAAAACATGTTTTGACATACTTATTTGAATAAGTTACTCAGTGAAACAGGGATCAAGGAACCTTGACTGTAATTCAGTGGGCAGTGTGTTGCATGGTAAGTTTTTTTTAGTTACTTACTGTTTAAAGTGTATGTTATTTCTACAAAAAAAAGTTTCTAGTCAGTCATGCTTTTAGTTATTTGTAACAGTAAAGATTTTAAAACATTAAATCTTCCTGTGTCATTCTTTCAATTAGCAACTGGAAGTTCAAACCATTTTTCAAAGCTTATCAGAGATTGTGACAGTGGACAATAAATTTCATCTTTGGAGGGGAATGTGGCAGTGATGTGCCCATGCAACTACTGCCCTTGTTCTATTGGTGGTAATTATAAGCTAATATTCTTACTTTACCTGTGCTGTTTGTTATCTGATATCTTCAACACTGAGCTGAATCTTCTTCATCCAAGTGTTTGTCTGGGATTGGTGGGGGCTCTTCAACCTCCACTTCATCTTTAACTTCAAGCTTCTCTTGAACCTGTGATTGGTTCTCTTTGTTCCGCTGTTTAATTATCTTTGCATAAATTGGTGCTTGTGTCAGCCCTTCTACTGACTCCTTGTTCTCATTGCAGCACTCATTCGTCTGTTTTGGATCTGCTGAAGGCACTGTCTTACATGGTGTCATGTACTCCAGGTTCTGTGGCTCAGGATTCTCCTGCTTCGATGCCCATGCGTTCACTTGGATGTCTCTCACAACTTCGTACAGACTATCATCAGCGGTCTCCTCAATCTGTATGATACTAGTCAAAGGAATACTTGGGATACGTCGGAGAGACACGCTGTTCACCTTTTCCTGCTGCTGGTCTGCGGATGCAAATGTCAGTACTTGGTCATGATTCAGAAATAGATACATGCAAGTTATAAAAATTGGTCACCAAGCTTAGCTGTTCTTTAGTGTAAATTATTTCCCTGACCTTTGGTTTCAGCACATGCACATCCATCTGAGGAACATTGGGGAGCTGTCTAGATGCCTTTAAATTCAGAAAGTATCAAAAAAAAATGTTTGGAATAAAGATGCAATTTCCGCAATTTCTCACTCACAATACCAAAAGGTTTGAGTCAAGCTGAAACTATGGTTTTGGCCGTTGCATCTCAGGAAGGATATATGTTAGCTTTGGAGACAGTAAAGAATAGATCTTTTTGGATGTGCTAAATGAACTAATTTGCAAGGTCAAGAGCTGGAGCAGAAAGATTAAATGGTAATCTAATACAGTTGGTTAAGGTGATTGAAGTATTTAATAGATTAGATAGTGAAAAACAAAAACAGGACGGTTTAAATTAGAGAGATAGTAGGAGCTGCCGATGCTGGAGAATCTGAGACAACAAGGTGTAGAGCTGGATGAACACAGCAGGCCAAGCAGCATCAGAGGAGCAGGAAAGCTGACGTTTTGGGTCTATCCTTAGAAGCTAAGGATGCCTACCTTGAAGTTACCCTCCTCGCTCTGGAAAGACCTCAGTGGATCTCTCTCCCACTGCAACCCTCTGATAATCTATTCCAGAGTCTCCTTCCCCTCCCCCACTTCTGAACAAGGGTCCCGACCCGAAATGTCAGCCTTCCTGTTCCTCTGACGCTGCCTGGCCTGCTGTGTTCATCCAGCTCTACACCTTGTTATCTCAGACTCCAGCATTGGCAGTTCCTACTATCTCTGAGCCTTTTTGCAGCTATGGTTTGTTTGAAAACAAAACAGGTATAGTTCCTGGAGGTTAATGGGAATTTGTTACATTGGGAGAATTTTTACAGTTTAAACAAATTAAACTATTGTATATTAGGCTTCAGCTAGAAGGATCTAGAAGTGTTTTTTTTTGCCTTAAGGGAAACATTTGTGATATATGCAACTAGTTTGGTTTATTCTAGTATATCTTCATATCTTTTGTACAATCAATTTCTATTTCATTGTTAAAATCAAATCTGCAGTATTGTGTTTCAGGGAAACACTACCTTCTTAATTAAAAATTAAGCAAAATATGGTGAATCAAGCCAGATTTCATTCTGAGGTCTGACTTGTTCAGTCATAAGATCATCTGAGATTGTAACAATAGTCACTGACAGATGAAAAATAATTGAGGAATTCCTTGACACATAGGTTGGTGAGAATGTGGAACACTCTCCAGTGATTGAAGTGGACAGTTACAGTATGCATTGAGACTTGCCTTAAATACAAAGAGAAAGAGTAGTCAAGGAACAGAGGTACTTCAAGTGGTGAAAAGTTCAGAGATAACAAGGTGTAGAGCTGGATGAACACAGCAGGCCAAGCAGCATCAGAGGAGCAGGAAGGCTGATGTTTTGGGTCTAGGCCCGAAACGTCAGCCTTCCTGCTCCTCTGATGTCGCTTGGCCTGCTGTGTTCATCCAGCTCTACACCTTGTTATCTCAGAT